GTGGAGGGCAAATGTTTTGAGAATGATGAGGGCAGCAAATGTACATATGTGCTTGACACAATGGATGGATGGATGGATTGTGATGAGAATTGTACGAGCCCCCAATAATATAATTTTTTTTAAATGGTGGGGAGAGACAGGTAAGCAACAAGGGTCTGAATTCGGTTGCAGAGTAAATGAGAGTAAAAGCAATAAACTTGAGTCACTGCAATGAATCATCACTGCATTGTAGCTTTTTGAATGTAAGAGACTGAGGAAAGTTGGTACCAAACAAACACAATCCACTTATCTTCTCCCACCCTAACACTAACAAAAGGCAAGCTGGTGGCAGTTTGGCTGAGCTACTTAACTTCCCTCTACTTCAGTTTCCTCGGGACCACTCCACTTGGAATGCCACTTACAAAGTCAGGACAAAAGAGCCCCCATCTGTGAGTGTCCTGTGTGTTCTTACAATCCACATCACTGACAATCTGTCAGTACAGCTCTACATGCCTTACAGGTACTATGGATGCCATTCTCAACAGAACTATAGGGATCATTTTATGGAGGAAGAAATAAAACAACAGAGATAACTTGCCCAGGTCCCATAATTAATAAAGTGATAGAACTAGGCCTTAAAGGCAATACATGTGATTCCTAAATTCAGGCTTTTAACTACCACGGTATGCTATCTTTTGGAGAAAGGGCTTTCTCCAGGAGAGTGACAGAGAGATGGAACTTTTACATACTTTATTCAGAAATACAGACACATTGATGGTTACTCAGTGGGCTAACCACAGGCCAGCAGTTCGAAATCACCAACTGTGCCAAGGTAAAAAGATGGGGCTTTCTACTCTCTTATTTAGTTTCAGAAACCCACAATAGAAAGATGAGGCTTTCTATTCTCAGAAACCCACAAGAGCAGTTCTACCCTGGTCCTATTGGGCCGCTACAGGATTGATATAAGTCGAAACTGACTTTATAGCAATAGGTTTGTTTTTCTGGGGAGCTTTGAAATTTTCTTTATATATATATGTATGTGTATATATATATAAGTCATTTTACTTGGGGGGCTCTTACAACTCTTGTTACAAACCATACATCAATTGTATCCAACATATTCATCTATATATTCCATTGTTTTCTAGACATTTACTTTCCATTGAGCCCTTGGGATCAGTTCCTGTTTTTTCTTTTCATTTATTTTTTTAAATCGTTTTATTAGGGGCTCGTACAACTCGTATCACACTCCATACATACATCAATTGTGTAAAGCACATCTGTACATTTATTGCCCTCATCATTCTCAAAACATTTGCTCTCCACTTAAGCCCCTGGCATTAGGTCCTCATTTTTCCCCTCCCTCCCCGCTCCCCGCTCCCTCATGAACCCTTGATAATTTATAAATTATTATTTTGTCATAATTTGCCGTCCAACGTCTTTTCACCCACTTTTCTGTTGGCCGTCCCCTAGGGAGGAGGTCACATGTAGATCCTTGTAATCGGTTCCCAAAATGTTCTATTCAGCTCCTTGACTTCATCTTTTCTTGCATTTGCTTTAGCTACTCTACCATTAAGTGCAAGTTTCAGAGTTTCTTCTGACATCCACTTTGATCACTTATTTCTTTCCTATCTTTATAATGAGACCTTTCGCTCTCTTCATGAACGATGGTCTTGATGTCCTCCCACAGCTCATCTGGTCTTCTGTCATTAGTGTTTAATGTGTCAAATTTGTACTTGAGATATTTCCAAAATTCAGGTGAACTAGACTCATGGTTGTATTTTGACTCTTGGAGATTTCTTTTAATTTGCACCTCACAAATGCTATTACCCTACTTCTATAAAGTCAATTTCAACTCATCCATCACTGTCATCATCTTGATTCTGACTTATAGCAACCCTATATAATAAGGCTTTCTGAGGCTATAAATCTCTATAGGTACAGGCAGACAGTCTTATTTTTCTCCCACGGAGAAGCTTGGGGGTTGAACTGCTAGCCTTCCATTAGCAGCCCAATATTTAGTCCCTGTGGGATTTGTGCTCCAGATCATTGAGTTGCCTTGTGAACATGGATAGAGCTACTATTTGAGCTGGACGCTGAAGGATGCAAAGCGCTTTGCAAAGGATACAACAGGTAAGAGAAATGCACTCAATGGTAACAATATAAAAAACTTCCAAGAAAGTAAAAGTGTACCCAAAGAGCAAGAAATAGGATATGAGAGGCAAGTGGCTGTCAATGAGACAGAACTGTGATTAACTCTGATATTTCTGTTGTACTTATATGCACACATTATCCATAAGTGTTTCCTTTTACTGTGTCAAGATACAGTAATAGACAATTTCATATGCCATCATTGATTTATCCAGAACATGTTTAATGAGTCTTACGCTGCACACAAGGCTCTGTCTAGGTGGCAGGGACATAGCAACGTACAAAGCTACAACCTAACCACCTATATTCCATCTGGAAGTGAACATGTCAGGTAGTGAACAAGTGTGAAAATAAAGCAAGTGGGAAGACGGACTAAAGAGCAACAGAGTTGATGGCAGTTGTTTTAGACAGAGTGTTCAGGTGGGGACTCTGTAAAGGTGACATTCAAGAAAGCATCCACATTAATAAGAGGGGGCAAAACAAGTTAGTATGGGAGGAAGGAACATTCTGGGAAGAGGAAGCAGTAAGCTCAGTGATCCTGAGACAAGTAGGTACTTGGCATGTTCAAGGAACAGCAAGACAATGGTGGCAGCTGGAGCAAAGCGAGGCAGAGAATGGGTGGAAATGAGGCTGAAGACAGGAGGGACAGTCCAGTTGGGGACTTCAGGATTATAAAAGGACTCTGGAGAATGTGGCCCAAGGGACCATGATGGTCTAATTCTGAATATTAAAAGGACCTTTCTGCTGCTTGGGCGGGGGTGGGAGTGGTGGTTCACTATGATGAAACCCGAAGTGGAAAGAGGCAGTTAGGAAACTACTGCCACTATAGCCCAGCTGAGAGATGACAGTGGTTCACAGTGATGGAGAAGGTGGATTCTGAAGATGAATTCGATAATGGATTGAAGGTGGATGAGAAATAAAGAATCTTGGAAAGATGGCTCAAAGGGATAGTGCCTTTTACTAAAACAGGAAGGAGATTTGGAGATCTGATGGAAAGAGTCAACCCTTCCTGTTTGGTCAGGTTGTTTGCGATGCCTACTACATATCCCAGGGCCTATGCTGAGTAGAACGCAGGATGTCATACTCTGGAGTAGAGAGGATCATACTGGAGACAAAGATAAAATTTACATCATCATCTATGATATTAGATCAGGATCCTAGCATCACATGAAAGAGATCCCCTCAAAAGTGTAGATCAACATAAAAAGTCAGAAGAGTAAGCCTGGAACACTCATTTAGGGTATTAAATAGAATTTCTACTTATTTATATAGTATAAATATAGGTTTGAAGAGATAAAGTGTCCATTTTTATTAAAAAAATATGTTTTCATTGACAGAGAAAAGGTTTATATTAATTAAATTGTTTTCCAGGGACTGAGATCTTCCCTACAGTGTCATTTATATTACTGTATTTGGCCCAGATTTAAAGAAGCATGTTGTAGTAGAGTCATTATAAACACTGAATCCAGGCTCGAGAACCTAAAAGCTCCTGTTTCAGCTCAAGGTGAGGCCCTCCCTCCAACCCCAATGACCTTGACAATCAGATGACAGGAAAAACAGCACACCCAACTGAATGATTGTTGTTGAGTCCCTATAGAACAGAGTAGAACAGTTCCCAAGGCTGTCAAGGAGTCCAGGTGGTGTAGTGTTATTGCCTTAGGCTACTAACCTCAAGGTCAGCAGTTCAAAACCAGCATCCTGTCCACCGGAGAAATGTGAGGTTCCCTACCCCCAAAAAGAGTACCTTTCCTGGTTCCCTCCTGCTCCCTGCTTCTGCACCTATATATCCAAAAGCTCCACTGTCATCAAGCCAGACACAGAGCAACCATGAAGGACAGAGCAGAACTGCTTCCTAAGGTTTCTGAGATGGTAAATTTTTACTGGAGCAGGCAGCTTCATCTGTTCTCCTGGGGAGTGGCTGTGGCTTTGAACCTCCAACCTTGGAGGTTAGAAACCCAAATCTTAACTCTAGGGCCCAGCATCTACACTACCACCACCCACTTCCCACAAGTTGGTAAGAAAACTTCTGAGAGCTTTTGAAAAAGAGCCCTGGGGTTGAGCCATTAAACACTGGATCCTGTAAATGTTGGCAGCACAGCTTGAAGCCGTCCCAGCAAAATCAGCCAACTGACGAATAGAGGAGAAATAGACAACCGCTTTCAATTTCCTGCAAACCCTTCAGCCTATATCCAGTGAATTTCACCTAAAAGCCCAGAAATCAAAAGCACTACACATACAAGGGGGCTTCAGAAAGTTCGTGGGCAAATTCCATCACCTTTTCATTCCATTTTCCCTAGCACGTTTTGAAGCCCCCCGGTGTCGTCATAATCAGTACTGCCTGACCTCGGATTTCAAAATGCATGTACAAATAAACAGACCACAGTGTGGGGCCAAGTTTGATATCATCCTCAGGAAGCCATATGTTCAGCACATGTGTGCCCTCAGCCCCTCCAAAAGCACCCTTTGCTTGGCCAAGTGAGGAGAAACCCACAAATCTCAAGCTTCTCCCACTTAGCAGTATTCAAACAAATAAAGGGGCAACTAAATTTTGTGCCACTCTCATATGCCCCATGGGTACCACCACCCTCCGGTCCTTGTCTTACTCTCAGAGTTCTTTTCCTCATACCCTCCACCCACCTAACAGTCCCAACGATCGCTTTGTCCCGCCCGGAATGTCTCCCTCTACCCGCCCTGGAAGACCCCCTTCACCAGGCCCGGGCTTAAGAACCTCGGGGATCCTGTGCCCCGTCCAGGTGAGACTGACTTTCCCCACCCCAACAACAACGGCAATCCCCTCGGGCTCCAGGACCGCTCCCAACCTGATCCCCCCAAATCCCGACCATCTGGGGCGCCCTCTTCTCAGCCCAGCCCCACGGCAGCCGGGTCAGCGAGGGTGAGACGTGCCAGCGGGGCTCACGGTGCTGGGCGTGCGTGTGCGGGCGGGCAGCGCGGCGCTCGTCCGTGAGGCGCGTGGCCGCGTCTGCGCGCGTGGCCGTGGAGGCGCGTGGGTGGCGACACCAGCCCCGCCGGCCCTCGGCGAGCCCGCTGTTCCCCCCCAGGGAGAGCCGGCTCCCCTACCTCGGTCGGCGAGACTGCGGGCCGGCGCGGTGCGGCTCTCACGGCGTGGACCCTGTAGGGCGTCTGGACCCCGCTCTGCTTTTATACCCTCGCCGGGGGGCCGGGGCAGCGGGGCGGGCCGCGAGGAGCGCCGGCCCCCGCCACCCCGCCCCTCGGTCGCCGGGAAGGGGGGTTGCCCGCGCGGGGAGACGCGGCACAGCCCGCCGCGACACGTCAGCGCCCGGAGCGCAGGCGACGAGAGGGGGGGCGGAGCCTCCACACGTCACTCATCCTCTGGCCCAATGGGATGGACGCCCTGTCCGTAAACGGCCCCACCTCTCCCGCGCACTAGCGGAGGGCTGGGGGCGGGGGAGCGGTGAGCGCTGCGACCCAGGGAAGGGGTGAGGTCCGGACGTCAGAGAAGGTAACCCGGGCCGCAGCCTAAGCCCTCTGACGCCGCTGCGTGCCTGGACGCGGGAGGCCGGCGGGCGCGCCCCGGCTACAAACGGCCCCGGCCTAGGGCGGGGAGCCGAGCCGTCCGGGTGGCGGATCTGCGACCAGCCCCGCGGTGGGTTGGGAAAGAGCAGCATTTTCCTTGCGGACGTGCGAGACGCGTCCTCTGACCTTCAGCTGCTCATTTTGCCCGGATTTTGCCGGCTCCCTGTCGCGGATCTCTCCGTCTTTCGGTACGGTGGTTTTCAGCCCGACGGTATGAAGCCCGGGCTCTTCTGCACGGAAGGAACAAGCAGGGCGAGGGGACATACAAGCATTCAGTAGCCTGAGATGCTGAAAAGCGCGCCAGCGACTGGAGCCCGGGGCCCGCTTTGTGTCGTGGCTGGCCTCGCAATTTCTTCCCGAGCTGCGCTCTCTACGCCTCCACACTCCGCGCGAAAACGCGGGTGGGACTGGAGGACCTCCGGTCACTGCAGGACCAGTGTGGAGAACTGCCTACTGTAGACCTTCCTGCTGGATTAGCGTGCGATGTGCACGCTCCGATTGTGTGCTCAGCACTGCCTTTTGAAACTGTTTACTTTGAAGGGTGCACTACACTTTGCACAATTTCTTCAAAATAATGGACTACCAAAACCACCTACACTTTACCTAGCACCTGTCACTCACAATTCAGGAACTCAGATGCCTTTATTCTAGACTCGAGGGACTTTACATTTCCTTTGTCAATTGCAAAATCATGTAACAACAACAAAAACTACACACGCTAATACTGGTAGACTTACATTCTGGCCATTGAATACTTGGCATTTTCCCTCAATACCTGACCAGAGATGTATAATGTAGTGGTTTAAGGGCATGAGATGAGAACAGAACACCAGTTTTCTGTAACTTGGGGTCTTGGCCAAGTTAACGTTTGTGCATCTGTTTGATCATAAGATACAGACAATATGAAAATGCCATTAGGTTTGTGAGGATTCTATAAGCAAAATACATAGCGTAAACTATAAGAGAAATCTATAAGCAAAATACATAAAATACAGAGCAAACATTAAATAAACTATTGTTACTGAGTTCTTACCCTTTTGGGTGTCGTTCTCTGGACCCGGGGTACTTTAGTATACTTTATCGCCATCTGCAATGCCTTTAGCTGTTTGCATTCCTGATACCAGAAACAAACCCCACTGCCATTGAGGAGATTCCAACTCGCAGAGATCCTATATGGCAGCGGTTCTCATGGGGTCCAACAACCCTTTCACAGGGATCGCCTAAGACCATTAAAAAGACATTTCCGATGGTCGTTGGCACCGAGACAATGCTATCCGTCTCCAGGCAGGTCCGCCCACACACAATACAAGTACCCGACATGCAGACTGTTACGCATGCTACACCATGCTTCAAGACAAAATTTCATCTATTTGTAGTTAGAAATTAATATTTCACAATATAGAATTGCATATTGTTTTGTGATTAATCACTATGCTTTAATTATATTCAGTTTGTAAATATGAAAATACATCCTGCATATCAGATACTTACAATTCATAACAGCAAAATTACAGTTATGAAGTAGCAAGGAAAATAATTTTATGATTGGAGGTCACCACAGCATGAAGAACTGTATTAAAGAGTCGCGGCATTAGGAAGATTGAGAACAACTGCTAAACGGGGTTTCTGAAGCTGTAAATCTTCAAGGGAGCAGTCAGCTACTTCTCAGGTGTTTCATTGTGCACTATCTCCGACCTTGAGGTTCACAGCCCAACGGTAAACTGCAGCACCACCAGGGTTCCTAGTCTTCTCAAACAATTCACAAAAACTGAAAAGCCAGGGCCCACCCTCAAAGATTTAGAAGCCTATCCATAGTGATGTAACTATGATAACTGTAATAAGCCCCCTCTGAACATAGTGGAAGGAGGTGAATAGCCTTGTTATTGAGAGATAGAGCTAAAAGAACCCACAGAGTGAGGGAAAAGATGCCCTGCCGGGGGCATTGAGAGTGCCAGGATGTCTAGACAGGTGATCTCAACAGCCTAGGGCAATTTAAACCTTAAGCCAGCAGGCATCAGATCCCTAGGCTGATTTTAAATTCCAAGCCAGCAAAGGCAAGACTCTTTGCTAGCCCCATGGCCTGCTTACTTCCCTGCCCATGCCTGAGCGTACCCTAGCTGTGGACAGGATATCCAGGTTTGTGACTGGGCCTGAGAAATAGGACCAGACCTGGGATTGGTCCATTTAGAACCTGGAGATGCTGACAGGCCAAGTACCCGACCTCTGATAAAAGCCCCTGACAGTTCATTCACTCAAGTCCCCACCTGCTGTGCCAAGTGCTTTTCTTTTCTTTCCAAATAAACTTTGCTTCATACTTACCAACGGGGCCCATGAGTCTATTCTTTGGTTCTCTAGATCAAGAGCCCCTGGACACATCAGAGCAGTTGCAACAATATTGACAGAGCATTGTAAAGCCTATTGTGGCAGATGTAGTTAGGTTAAATCTATTATTTGATCATTTGATCCATTTTAAAGTGAGGTTGGCGCAGGAGCATGCAGTGTTTTGCTCTGTTGTGCATAGGATCGATATGGGCCACAGCAGACTCCATGGCACCTAACAACAACAGCAACGAAGTGGTTTCCATTAAGAAAAACAAAAGTGAAGGGGAAAAATGTGTGGATTAAGCTTCTGGTTGTGGGAAACAGAAAAGCTATCCCCCAGGTTGTCCCCCATATTATATGCCAAACCTAAGGTGCTGCTTGCTAACACATGGTCAATGATATACACTTAGAGGTCAACTGCTTAAAGGTTATCTCCCTGAGGGTTATCAGCCATCTGTTGTCTGTCCCACTCTAAGTAGGGCCCACTCCCATCTGATAAGGAAAATGGATTGTCCCCCTGAAGCTAGAGCCCAAAGACTAAGGTCAAGCCAACTCAGGGAGGACCAAGGAAGGCTGCCATCTTGACTCTAGAGTCTGCCCATCTTGTCACATGTGGGACCCTAGTGCCTCCCTTTCCTGTTGTGTGAACACCCCTAGTTCCTCCCGCTCCTGTTGTACGTATGCCTATTGTACAACCTCTTTCTGTCACGATGTGATTAGGGGGGCTTGCACATCCCTGAGTGGATATAAGCCTTGATTGGAAATATATTCTCCCTCTCTGCATGGACCTGGCTGCTGAGATCTTGGCCATCCCGGAGGTGAGCATTCGCATGCCTTATCTTGTCTGATGTCTCTTTAATTTTACCCCCCAATTACACAAACGTCCCTTGGACCCATTCGACTGTGAGGTTGGTACCCCACATCTGGTGAATCCCTTCTGAACATAGACCAAGGATATGAAAAAGTCTTCCTATCATACAGAATGGATTAGAAAGTGAATTATAACAAACGGAGTTAGCTTAGGATTTAGCACCTTATCATTTGATTTCCTTTATGATCCATTTTATTTTTTCCAACAGTTTTATTGGCAAATAATTTATATATCATCAGTCAATAGTTCAATCATTCAATCATATCAAGGAGAATTATACAATGACCACCACATCAATTTTAGTGCATCCCCACCCCCGAGGTTAAATTGCCTTTAAATGAGTCATGCAATCGCAATCCTTTTTAGTGCTCCTTCCCCCCCTCCCATCTTCATTATTTACTCCTGAAATCCCTTTCCCACCCCTATATTCCCTTTATCCCCTTGTATCAATTATTATTATGCATCCACTGCTCCTGTGCTTCACAGCTGGGAGACCCAACAGAAAACAATCAAAAACAAAATCATGCTAAGGTGTTAAGGATAAAAACATAATAGTATACAGACAAAAATACAAATAATGCATAAGAAGGAAAAGACCCCCCAAACCATTCAAAAAGCCAGGAAGAAATTTCTGTCGTGGAACCAGTAAGAGATACTTGCTATGAGTCATTCTAAATTTGTTCTAGTTTTTAAATATTTTTCTGCTTTCTTTTACATTGAGGTTTTACTTTATTGCTATTAGTTTGTTTTTGTTTTTTAATGTTTTCCTAATATATGAAATCCAAATGTGTTAGACTGGGTTGATTAAAGAAACAATCCAAGGACACTCATATATGTGTATAAGAGAGAGCTTTATATCAAAGAGCAATTGTATATTGAAAAAACATTCCAGCCCAGTCCAGATCAAGTCCAAAAGTCTGATATTAGCCCATATGTGGTCCATAAATTCCTCTTCAGACTCACACAGCACATGCAATGATGCCGAATTCAGAAAGATCATAGGCTGGTGGGTGTAAAATCTTGTGGATCAAATGCAGGAGGAAGCATCTCAGCGCTGGCTCCTCTGGCTCTCTGAGTGTGACTTCTCATCAGGAAACAAGTAGAGAGAGAGTGGGGCCAGCCTCCAGGGAGGAATAGAGGAAGTTCCCAGAATCCTCATGGGAAGGTCACACACACAAGGAAGCATCATCAGGCTGTGTCCTGTTTGACAGGCTAGACTCCACCCCTTCATTCTATTTATCAAGTTGACACAACATTATGTAACTACCACACTGAGATAAGTAAATCTATAGAGACAGTTACTGAATTAATGGTTCCTTTGTATGGCACGGGAGGTTGAGAGGGAAATATGGAGCTGATAATGATAAAAATAAGGAAAATGTTCTAAAACTTATTGTGATGAATGTACTGCTCTTTTTGATGTATGTACTGCTCTTTTTGATGT